TTAGTTGCTGCTAAGGAACCACATAAAGGCAATATAAGTCAAGGCAACCTGTCACTGTTAATTGCCACTGGTCACAAGGCAACCAGGTCACTGTTAATTGTGAGTGTTCATTGAATGCTTTCTTTTTTTAAAAAAAAAAAAAAAGCTGAACTCAGAACATGTTGTAAACCTGAAAACTGAAATAACAGAGTGGCAGTAGCTCTTCTTACATTTTTTTTATCACCCAAATTTCAAGGTTAGTGAAATGCAGTGGTTAGGGTGTGGATTTTGCATAAGGAAAATCCGGGACCAGATTTCTTCTCAACGATGAGGCTAGTAGTCTTAGATTCAATGGTGGTGTGTAGCTAAGAGGGTAGTGATGCTTCCTCATGCTGCTGGGAGGAAAACACTGAAGGAAAAGACATTTTACAGAGCACTCTCAGTATAAAACACGCAAGTTTTAGAATTGAACTAAGGCCTCATTTGAAGTTTCAGAGGTGTCTCATGGAGGCTACAACTGTAAAAATTAGAGTCACAAAACAATGATGACTGAAATGACTTGAAGGGTTCAAGACTTGTACGAAGCCAACGTGGAATAAGTGAATTTTGAGAAAGAATCAGAAGGGAAATTGTTTATGGATTGAGTAATCTATCCATCAATCAATTACTGACCTTCTTCTGGTGCTGTTGTAAAGATTTCTAAGATCGTGCTAGGATATAATATGGTTTAGTTGTGGCTTAGCATGTGCTATGAATTCATCCACTGATTGGTAAGCCATGGTTTGTAGTTTAATGTGCAGTTATGGAGTTAATGTGCACCATGGTTCAAGAAACTGCAGTTCAACAAGGTTCAACAAACTAGGCAGATAATGTGCACCACGGTTCAACAAACTATGGTTTAGTTTGATATACAAACCTAGCCAACCTATGCAAAGTACAGTGCAAACTCCAAGAGATTCCCCAATTTGATTTTGCAGGAGTACAACTCCCATCACCCACAGCCAGCACAGTTTAGGATTATAGGAATAATACACAGATCCAATTCTTAGTGGAATCGGTCTAAAAGAAGTTTAATAAAATTGTCAACAAGGAAGGGAGAAAAAAACCCACATAATTAAAAATTAATGTCTTCTATTACAGACCGGCCCACAAAAATGACACAATGTTGGGTGCGCCTGAACTGCTCTTGGCATCTTGGGAGATGACATCTTTTGAGTTAAATCTGAGAGGGGGTTAGGGAGGAAAGTTAAATACTAAAAGATGGGGTGGTATGAAAGAAACAAATACAACTGATATCCTTGAAGAGCCATAATATGGGGACAGAAAAAAAGAGCTGGGGCCGGGGAGAATTCACTTACCAAATGCTCGATCTTTATTTTAACTCAAGAAGAGTACCCATTGCAAACTATTGACTGTGGAGGCTGTTCCAGAATGTTTAGCTCTTCCGCCTCCAAATCCAGTCCCAACGTTCTCTCATCTCCCTCTAGGAAACAAAGTTCTCGCTTTCCATTTTCCACGCTCACCCATTAACGAGTCACATGTTTATCCTCTCCAGAATTCTTGTTCTGAACCATCTCTAGCCGCTACCAAAACCCAACACCGCACATCAACTGCTGAAAAATCTACCACTGGTTTAACGGAACACCCCCATCCGGGAACACGTCTGGTGTCAAGACATTTGCAGACGTGAGAATTACAAGATCAGTTCAACAAGCTTGTGGATATAGCTTAGAAGGGATACGGTTTAACTGCAGATATTAAAGCCAGTGAACATTAGATATGGGCTGAATCCAACCAATTTCTTCCAAAGGTGATTGAGAGAAAAAGAATATGAGTTTCAGCCATTTTCCCTTTCCCTCGAAGCACTCTCCTGATCTGCTCCAAATTCTCTTTGGAGCAATTCTACGGGATGCAGAGAGGAGATGGAATTAGCCTTCTTTCTCCATTGAGGGAATATGTTGAAATCAACTTTTTTTAACGTGCAGGAACGCAGTGGATACATTCTATGGGCAGAAATGCTGTCTGGCATAAAAAGGTTTTCCTGCAGGAAGAGATCCCACATTTTCCTACTGCCACATATATCTGCTGGGCAGTTACTGTCGTTCTAACACGTTACCATCTAAATTTACTGATTCATGCAATTTCCTGTAGAACACTGCTACCTACACAGACATGTGGAAATGGCTTTTAGATCTAGTTCGCAGAAAGCAGGATAACACTGTTCCTAGCATTCGCGGACCTTGCATCTCAAAACGAAAAGGCAGGTGAGGCATTTTTTAAATAGTTTTCTAATATTGAGGGCTATTCAGCTCTACAACCCCCTCCCCACCCCTATTATTGTCTTGAGTGGTCCAGCCATTTCACTAACAGCTGAGACTGAACACCTCTAGACCCTGCTGGACCACATTCCCCATCATCCTTGATCTACACTGGCTAATGGTAGTGAAAATCCAGCAACAACTGGAGGGGTGGGGCTTCTCCATCACAGCTTGACTGGAAGAATTTGCAGAGGTGTAAAAAGAGAAAGCATTCTTGGCATGAATTCTTCCATAAGGTTTGGCTTTGGATGGAAAATTTGAACAGCCTTCTTTTGAACGAGTAGGCGGCTGGCTGATAAAAGCAACAGACGAAGTAGCAAAGGTGTGCTCAGACAACATCATTTCAGTGTGGGAAGCTGGGGAATGTATATCCATGAAAAAAATCCCTAAATGTAGAGAAGAAGCACCTCAGGGAGAACGCTATCTTAGAACATTTCTCCTTGACATGCTACTTTTCAACGAGCATGGAGATTTGGGGTTCTTTTATGGACAAACATCCATGTGGCCCCTTCTGCTAGGAACAGTTTTACCACATCTGTTATTCGCAAGACTTAAGGCCGTTGTTCCCCTGCACACATATTTGGGCCTAGCGAGAACTGATTTGCTACTTGGTTGCCCAATACATAGCTTCTCCCTCAGATGGTTTCTTTAATACTTCATCCTGTACTGAACATTCACAAGATTTATTCCTGAGTGGCTTCGGCAGGCTGGATTGTGAGGCTTCCAGGTGTGCGAGCCATAAAGGAAGCTCCCACAGTCTGTGTGTTAATCAAAGTCCTCTCCTGCATGGATTCACTTGGATTTAAGAAAACGAGGTCCTGAACTGAGGACTCTTCGTCGGTCTGGGAGTAGAAGGTCAGTCCGGCATGGATCCTCCCGTGTCGAACGAGGTGTGACCTGCGGTTGAAACTTTTCCCACAGTCTGTGCAACAGTACGGCTTTTCTCCTGTGTGAATTCTTTTGTGCCGGACAAAATGAGACTGCCAGTTGAAGCTCTTTCCGCATTCGGGACATTTAAAGAGTTTCTCCTCCTTCTGGAGAAGCAAGGGGTCCCTGTAATTTTTCTCGTCGTCCAGGCAGGCAAATGGTCGGCCTCCCGAAAGGACCACCGGACGGGGGTTCACACTGCTTTTAAACAATGGGCTACGACTGAAGCTGGTCTCCCGGTCCAGACATGGAAACAGTGGCCTGTCTGCCTGGATGGCTTCCTGTGGATTCACTCCGGTGATGAGGAGCGAACAATGGCTGTAGCTGGTCTCATTGTTGGGCCATTCAAACAGCCTGCCCCCTATGTGTGTGGGCCTGTTGGGGTTCACACCTGCAATGAAGATAGAGCTATGACTGTAGTCTTTTTCACTTTCTGAGCCTGGGTAAGGCTGATCCTCTGTATGGGTCTGCTGGTGGGGACTCACCCCAGCGATAAAGAGCGAGCTGCTATCATAGGCTGTCCGGCTTTCTGGCCCTCCGCACGGCTGGTCCCCTAAGTGGGTCGCCTCGTGGGTACTGAGGTGTGACCTGCGATTGAAGCACTTCCCACAGACGGAGCACTTATACGGCTTCTCTCCCGTGTGGATCCTTTCGTGCCGGAGGAGTTCCGAGGTCTGGCTAAAACTTTTCCCGCAGTCTGAACAGGAATACGGCTTCTCTCCCGTGTGGATCCTTTCGTGCCGCATCAACTTCGACGACTGGTTGAAACTTTTCCCGCAGCTCAAACAGGTGTAGGATTTTGCACCTCGGTGAGCGGTCTCGTGCCTGACCAGGTTGGATCGGATGCTAAAGATCCTTCCGCACTCCCCGCATTCATATAGTTCCTTCTCCGTGTGGGTCCTCTGATGCCTGTTCAGTTTGGACTTCTCAATGAAGCTTTTCTCACACTTGGCGCATTTGTACGGCCTTTCCCCAGTATGGGTTCGCTTGTGCGTCACCAGATGGGACTTCCAGTTGAAGCTTTCTCCGCAAACGGGGCATATGAACGGCGTCTCTCCTGTGTGCAGCCGTTTATGCGCCAGAAGAGATGAGCTTTGGGTAAAGCATTTCCCGCAATCGGCACAGGAGTAGGGTTTCTCCCCCGTGTGGATGTTCTCGTGCCGAATGAGGGTCGAGGCATGGCTGAAGCTCTTCCCACAATCGGAGCATTTGTACGGCCTCTCTCCCGTGTGGGTAATGCCATGTCGGATGAGGTCCGACCTGAAGCTAAAGCTCTTCCCACAGTCGAGGCACTTATAGGGCTTCTCGCCTGAGTGGGTCCTCTGATGCCGGTTACGATTTGACCTTTCGGTGAAGCTTTTCCCACAGTGAGCACATTTGTAGGGCTTCTCGCCCGTGTGGATGCGTTTATGTGCCAAGAGGTTGGAGGCCTGAGCGAAAGTCTTCCCGCATTCATTGCAGGTCCTTGGGATCTTAGATCTGCGCCTGGACTTCCCAGCTGCACCCGGGCCCGGAGGCTGGGGGACCTGGCTGTAAGCCGGAGAGCTATTCCTTCTCCTTGGTAAATGGAATGGCCGCTGCCTCTCGGGGTTGAGATGTTTCACCGTTTCCTCTCCTTCCTCAAAACACAGGGAAATCACTTCACCCACCACTTCTGGGGACGTCCCAATTTGCTGATTTTGCTCAGAGTTTTGCCCCAGAACATCTTCCTTCTTCTCACGTACCTGTCCATCATCTGCTAGATAAAAACAAAGTATTGAGATATAGGCACAATCTCAGCTGGCAGTAAAAGAAAAAAACCTTTATAACATTCTGCAAATGTTATATTTCAGGATGTGTCATGGGTCCCCACAGCATTTACCGTATGATTTACGTTTCTTAAAACAGACACACTGATTTTCCAAGGTTGGATATTCTAGTTTTTCATTCCACCTTTTATATGTATCGTCAATACTAACCTTCATCTTGTTTTTTAATTCCACAAAAAATTGGTTTATTGGTTGAAATTGACCTGTTGGTTATTGTTCAGCTAAGGATACTGAACTCACATAAATTTTGTTCAGTTCCCTATTGCCAGTTTGGGCAGGCAGACCCAACGTACCTTCCTATTTTTCTTAAGCCTGAGCTGGCCTGAAAGCAGAAGTCTTTGGTGGGAGGGCTACAAGCTTCCCAACTAGAGGATATTTCTGGATGCTCAGCCTGACTGGTGGTAGCCAATCCTAATTTATTTTTTACTAGGAGGCCTCTGGGAGGCAGAGATCCGCCAGCGAGGTTCTAAAGCAGTGTTTTTCAACCTTGGCCACTTTAAGATGTGTGGACTTCAACTCCCAGAATTCCCCACCCAGCATGGCTGGCCGGGGTATTCTGGGAGTTGAAGTCCACACATCTTAAAGTGGCCAAGGTTGAAAAACACTGTTCTAAAGTATTCCACTGCCTAGTTAGGATCACCTACCATTCTCCTGCATGCTGCTTTTGTAGAAATTCCTTTGATCGAGATCCAACAATGCTCCTTGATCATCTGGGAAATACATAGCAACTTCTTTGAAATTCACGGGCATCTGAAAGACAAAAGGCACCGTCCATTCAATCTTTGCCCCATGCTTCATTTTGAGATCCACTTGCCTTTAGATTCAGGCTATGGCCAGAGAAGCATCACTTCTCAGGAGCAGCTGACCATGCGGTGGGTTGCCCATCTTTTGGGGAGCGCAGAGCAAGCAGCCCTACCCATATTCCAGAATGCCTGTATTCTGGAATACCATCCCCTTGGAGAGCCATGGACTCCCACCCTACGGTTGCTTCCTAAGTCTTTGAAAACCTGGCTCTGTTCCCAGGTTTGGGGTTAAATTGCATTTTGGACATTGCAAGTTGCCCCGAGTTTCATGGAGTGGAGCAACCATAGATCACCACCATCCTTCTCATCCCTCACAGGAGTATTTTGGCAATGCCACTGCACACCTTTTCTTTTTATACTATTTTATGGAGATTTTAAAAATACATATTTAAAAGTTAGAAATGAAAAAGAAAATTTGAAATACAAAATATAAAGAAAAGGAGAAGACAAAGTGAAGTAAAGTAAAGAAGAAAAAATATGAAAAACAGATAACTTCCAATCTATCTCTGGTCTTAGAAATAATGCTATCATAAGTGTTAGTTTTTAATACATTAAATAGGAATACTTCTTTGTCTAAATATATCCCATTACATTTATAATCTAATCTTCAAATCGCCATGTAAGCTTCACCCCACCTGCATTTTGCAAATAGTCCATCAATGGTTTCCATTCTTTAAGGCAGTAGTTGTTTCAGTTTTCTTTTAATAAGTCAATTTGTCATTTTCTGCCATATCTATCAGTTTTAACAACCATTCTTGAACACCTTTTTAAAAATTATTTTGGTGAAGTGTCGCAAGCAGAAATAACAATACCGCAGTGATAATGCAGTGAAAAAGTATATACAAGAGTTATTAAAATAAACTTAAAAGAAAAAAAGAAAAACCCATATAATATGAATAGAGAATGAGCTCAATCTTTTAATCGATTAAATACAGACCATAGAGAAACATATCGCTCCATTCTCCCCATCCCTAAGATTCTTGGGCTTCCCCAGACCCAGTGATGCTCCTTTCTGTATGTGGATGTTGTTAACTTGGGTGAGCAAAGATCCACATTTAGAGCATGAGTGAGCAATACAATGGTATTTAGGATAGTATTAGAGATAGCAAACTACCAAAATAAACAAAGATAAGAGAAGGAAACCTTACATTTCATTAAGGGCTGAAATCCCTGTAGCTATGTCGCAAGCATTTCATCTTCATTCATTTAAACTCTATGTGCAATTGGGTCAGTTCCCGAAATAGCTATGGAATGTTTAATAACATTTCACCTGCTCAGAAGTTTACCAAAAGAAAAATCCAACGTATAGAGGCAGGTACCTGACCATTTGCCTAAAGTTTTGGCCCAGCAACACACTTTGACTGATCACATTCCCTTGTACTGTAGTCTTCCAAAACCAAGATATAACCGGGGGACAATGGAAAACATAAGAAAGCCTGTTCTTTCATTTAAGAACTAGCCAACTTCAGAGAATTTTCACAAGGATGTACTGGAACGGCCTTAGGCATTCTGCTGAAGCTCTTCAGGAAAATACAAATGGGAGGAGATATATTGATTGTTCCAGAATTGATCCCTAGGACTGGAAAGAGATGTTGAGTTCTTGTTAGAAATCCCTTGCTGCAGACTTTGTTTCTGATCTACTTTATGATCAGCCCAACTCTGTTGGCCAGTTTGCTTCAACTTTGGCCTCTCCTGATAAATCTATATTTTACCAATCTCCTGACGATCCTCTTGCAGGTCAAACGGATTCAGGGCTGTCATTCTGCTCTGTTTTTTATTCTCATTTCCAGCTTCATCTCATCCTGCCATCCCTCCGTTTGTCATGCCTGTCACACCAACTGAATGTTAATGCCTCGGCAGACAGGACTCCCCTTGAGGAATTCTGCAACGTGGGATTCAACCCTGCCTTGTCACTTCAACATTAAAATATTGTTGGGATTGCCTTGTGAATCTCAAGTGAACGTGCCTTGTTCTTCTTCATCTCTCACTCATCCAGAATTGTCCCTTCCTCTTCCAAAATGTCTGTACAGATCGAACAATTGAAGATACCCCAATATTTCTCGTAGGAAGGAGCACTAGTCCACCCTGTCCCTCCTCCTACTGGGTGGCTGCTTTGCTTCCCAGAAAAAGATATTTTTTTTTCCTCAATCAGGAACAGGGGCTCTGCAAACCCACTAGCTTTCACCAAGAGTCTCCAACTGCATTGGATAGCTTATCCAATGAGGTTGAAAGACCTCATGCAGTCACTCCAGTGACAACTTCCTCCCATAAATAAGTAAATAAAACAAAGCCTTCTTTTTTACATTTTTTTTTACATCTTACCCCACTCCAGAGTTTCATGACCCCACCTCGATGTAG